TTTAGGGGTTTAGTGTTTAGGGTGTTAAGGGTCCATGTGCCCAAGTAGTATATACTTTGGCCCCAAAGTACCCAAATAGGGACTACTTTAAGGCCAAAGTATCTACTATTTGGGTACATGGACCCTTAGGGTTCGGCGAGCACACATGATGAATTGGGAATACCAAGTCAGAAGAAGCAGTGATCATGGACTGAGTCACGTCGTGACCGTAAGTGGTACGGCACAGCATATGCGTGAAACAACGACGCACACAACTGGACTCCGAACATTCACTGATCTAGAATAGAGCAAGGCAGAGAACACATCAGCAACGCTGCAATACTGATCATCGTCGCCGTCCTCGGTGTCGCATTGACAGCCGCAAAACAGGTCGCTCGTACGCAGCAATACTACTAAAGAGAGGAGTATAGAAATCGACGATGAATGTTCATCGTCCGCCCACGGACGACACGCGTGTTTGTTGTTGAACCTGGTGGTGGATCTAACATGGGAACTCAGGGAGTCATCTGTCAGAGCCGATCTGTGAAACACGGTGGGCAACGAGAACCATAGTTGTTGTCCGAACAAACCCAACAAAACATTTCTAGAGTTCCTGGTTCTGAGTTCCTTCAACATGTCCCGAAAGACTTAGGTTTTGCAGCGGTTTGGTGCAGGCAGCGAGGGCACGAGCCTAGCCCAAGCTCCGGACCCAAGCATCGACATTGTCGCCACCACTCTGGAGCAGTTTCGTCCGAGCCTACGCGGCCAGGTAAGACAGGAGGCTTATTCATTGAACTAGGATTGTGGTGTATGTTATAGTACTAACGTATAGCGTCTACATATATATATATATATATATTTTGTAAATATATATCTATATATATATATATGTATACATACATAAGGAGCCCAGACGAATAGTACTACAAATTGATTATTCACGGTGCTATATTTCTTGCAGGAGCTGTTTGAAGGCCTGAGCCGGGTCAGGGGTTGCGAAGCCCTGAAACCACCGATCTTTTGCTGAATCCCTAAGGGTCCAAAGTCCAAAGGACCCAATAATACGGTACTTGGGTTGAGGATGATAGTTATCTAGGCTAATAGTTGGGAGAGTATATGATTATTAGGTACCTGGACCCATAGGGAATGATTTCGAAATCTGACTCTCGCAGCAGGCAAGATGTCAGTGCTCGTCTCCAGGGGAGCCAGAAGGCAATGCTCTGCTCCTTTGACGATGTGCTGTTGCAGATGCCGGACCCTATTCTAATTTTCTAAGGCCACCCAAACTGACTATACCCCAGACTACGTAGCCCTTAAAGGTTAAATGAGACCTTACAAGGAACTCTCGTTTTCTTAGTAAGGCCTCTATCTTACACCCATATTCTATTTATACAATACGGCTGATGATCTACATCCTGCATTACCCAAAGTAACGACTATACCATAACTCCCAAAGCTTAGGGTCCTGAAGGTAATGCAGGATTTAGCTCATCAACAGTAGCTCAGGGGCCTTGGTCTCATGTATAAACTCCTGCACTGCAATGACGAAGGCACAATCTGCAGTTCAAGATCATGTAGAAGCCTGGATACACACTATATCACTGCATAGCTTTCGTAACTCTAGCCATACGGCGTATACACCCCCCCCCCCCTCCAGAATCTCTTCTAATCATCAAGGCTGCTGCAGTGCTCTTTGTCACCAGGTTTACGCCGAAGACGGCGGGTCCAAAGCCGTGAACATCAGAATATAATTTTTGTGTTTAGGGTTTAGGGTTATGGTATGTTTGCCGGCACGAACCCAAGATTCCTGAATTGCTCAGACCCAGATATGTCTACGGGGTTGAACGAACATCGAATGGCGGTCTGGCTTCAACTAAACCTGTTGTGAGATCCACCTCGTGACATACATACATGTAGCAGGTTCGATATCATTGAGCTTCTTTTGTGTCACGTATTATTGGCGGCTTTGGAACAGTTTCTGTTTCCTAAACACAAGGACCCAAGGACGCATTAGGCATCAAGCTTCAAGCCTCTAGCTCGCACTACATGGGCAGTCCGAGCCGGGTTCGTGCCCCTCCACGACTGCTAGCTCACAACAAGAGTGCGACCAACCGCTACGACCATTCAACTTTCTGAGGCCGAAATCCGCAGGCATCAAGCCACGATGACAACACTTCGGGAGGTGCAGACCGCTCAGCTGGTTGTATGCAGGCATGTACATACGTATCTCTGCTAAACCGCTGCTGCTGCTGCATTGGGGTCGAAAGACTCAGAGCCAAGCTGGAAGCACAAGCCCGCAGCACAAAACCCTTCGCCGCTGCAGCCGGACAAGCAAAACAAACACGGCCGCTGGAACTCCTGAAGTTGATGGCCTGCCGCCCCTAAGCAAAGCCCAATACCTCCTGAAGGCAAACCTACTCAAGCCTCCGCTATCGCGGCGGCCGGGGGCGCGCAAGCAAACTGCAGGCGCAGGCGCTTAGCTCCGTAGGAGACCTTCGGTGAAGCAGTTTATGGCCGTCAGGCCTTGGACACAGGGTTCAGGATTCCGGACTGTAGCTAATGTCTGGTTTGGAGATTCGTTGTTCATGGCTTGTCGGTCTTGGGATTTGACCAAGCTGCGTTGAGGTTCAACAGCCCTGAACCCCCAATTGCTTCAACTTCCCATACATAAACTCCATATAATCTGATACTTTTGTGTAGGACAGCCTTCGGTATGCATGAATGAGAAATGTAGCTGTGCAAATGAAGGCCCGCATGCATGGTTTTCGCAGCGATGAATGGCAGTGCAATGCAGTGTACATACGTGTATACCGATACATGTCCATATAATGAACATGTGTAGATGCGTTGTATATGTATATATATATAGATTATGTATATATATATATATATATATATATATATTTCTATCGATCAGAGATAATGACCACGTATTTACATATATGCACAGACAATATATCGTGAAGTGATAAAGTATCTGTACAGGCACATATGTACATGCCTACATACATGCACATACACACGTGTGCATGCATACGTGGATACATTTGTACATACATACATACATACATACATACATACATACGTACATACATGCATCTACTGACAAACATACATACAAACGGATAACATACATAATTCACAGCAAGTATTCTACTGTCACCAAAGGTTGTTCACGATATGAGTGCAACATCTCGCACAAAGGACCACGTTTGCAAACTTAGTTTTTAAATCAAGTCGAAGACTTCCTGTCAGAAAAGAGTTAGCCCTGGTCGGGAGGCCTCAGGCTGTTCCCCATGACCGCGGACGGAAAGATATGAAGACTGCAACTTAGTTCTTTGCCTGTGTCAGCATGCGACATATCAGCCAGGTCTTGCTCCATGATAGAGCCCGTTTGAGGTTTTCGGTGCCAGGCACTACTAACAGTACAAAGGCCTGGACAATTTGCTCAGAAAGCCTTCAACTCAGCCCAAACCCATAGATACTCGAAATCCTGTAAGCCCCACAAGCCCCAACAAACTCGGCTGCAAACCAATCCGTTGTAGAGGATGGTCTTGGACATCGCCTTCAGAAGAGCTTGAGCTTCGATTGAGTTTCAGAAGTATCTAAGGTGTAGGGCAGTGTAGGGTTTGTTAGGTTTAGGGTTCAGGACTTTGGGTTTAGGGTTTGGCGTTGAGGGCTGCTATACTTGGAGGACCAGGGGACTTAGTAAGTAGGTTATAAGTAGAGTGAAAAATACCCTAACTGGAGTTACCCCAATTATAACCCTACTTATAACCGGCTAAGTCCCCTGCTCCAAATCGCGTTCTTCCTTGCAGGTAGGGGCACTGCATCCATCTCCGGTGATCTGGAGTGTTGAGTAGTCAGCAACTACCGGGTATTGCTGCTCCATGCTGCCAGGCAATTTCTGAGTCTCTACCGCATCCGGCCACTTCACTGCCTATCGTTGAGTTGCATGGTACGTGAGTTGTTCGCTATTTTGCATGCTGCTCCAACATGTGCGACTTGGCCGTCATATATTTTGCACAATATGCCCACTTGTTGCTGCCGCAGCAGCTTTCGACAATCCCGCTTTTTTTGATTTCCACTGTTCGAATTAACATGAATTGCTTGCCTGTGATCATTACCCCTAAACCCCTAAACCCTAAACCCTAAACCCGTATGACTGTTGCCTCTCCCTTGACAAGACAGCAAGTGCCTTGAAGGCCGGCCGGAGCTGCACCACCTTGACTTGTGACGAAGCAGGTAGTTGGGTTTGGGGTTTAGGGTTTAGGGAACGTTTGGGACCGTTAGACCACTGAACAAGAAAACATCTGGCTAGTATATAAGCCTCCTAAGCCCTAAACCCTAAGCCTTTCACAACAGTCTCTCTGACGCTGAGGACACACGATTCTGAGAACCTCATAACACCGGGGTGTTCAGAAAATAAGGGACACTGTAAACGCAAGTCCTTTTACTAAACTATACTGTACTGTACCGTACCATATTCTAGCATACATTATTACAATGCACGTGGAATAGTACACGATGCGATTGTGTACGATACCACCCTATCCTATCCAATCCGGAAGCCTCAAATCTAAACCTGACGTCTCATACTCGAAGCTCAAGGTGCATTGTAGAGATCATCCTCGAACTTGAGCCGTGTGGGCCTCAAGCACAGGTCGATTGGGCTGAGATTGCGCTGAAGGTAGTGGGTTCAGGGTTTTAGGGTTTAGGGTTCAGGGTTTGGGGTGCAGGGTTCCAGGTTTAGGGTTCCAAGTTTAGGGTGTAGGGATTGGAAGCTTAAAGTCGCGGTTGAGATTTGTGGAGTTATGATGCATTCGTAGCCATCTGCATAAATGCTCAGTCCCTGGAAGTGTGGTGCGGGCTGATCTCAATCCGAGACCCTACATCCAGGGACCGAAGAGCAAGCGTGGATGCTAGTTACCTTTAAATAAACCCTAAACCCTAAACCCTAAACCCTAAATTAAATACCCTANNGTCCATGTACCCATATAGTATGTACAGTGGCCTATATCGGGACAGAAAAAAACTACTACACAGGAGACGGGACTTAGCGGGATACGTTCATTATAAAACCCCTCTACAACCGCTGTGAAGCATGGCAAAACGATTTTCAACAACTTGAACAGCCCGAAAGCCACTTTTTGAAAGTCCGTAACATCCTTATGGGCATGACCTCATTGACAGAGCCACCCATGCGATCTTTTCGCTCCGCAAGTTTGCTCATGGCATACGCCGATCCCCGGAAGCGTAGGAGGGTGGAAGGTGGATGTCCTGACGGAGCGCGGACGTTAGGGTCTGTGGGCAAATCTTACCAAAGTTGCTCCTTTGGCCCAGGATTGAGGCCCCAAATGATGCACAGACCCTCAGAGTGCATTGCTATACTCTGGGTGTATAGGGAAAGTGGCCTAGTACGGCGGCGACTAAACTTCAAAGCGGTGGTTCAGGGTTTGGTTTGCAAGGCTTATGGCTTTTACCCGACAGCTGGCTCATCTTTGTGAAAGACAACATGCAGCTAGACGTCAAGTCTAGCTATATCGGAAGCGGACAGCACTTGTAGTTGCTGTTTTGCTGCAACAAGAAAACATCGACCCTTAGCCTAAAACTAATAGCTCGGCCAAGATCCCAAAACTCAACCCTCAAACCCTAAAGCCAGCGAAGTGGTCTACGTTGGGTAAGACATGAAGCCCCTTTCGAGGTGCGAGTTCGCCCCAAATCCTGGAAACACCACGGTTCTCCACCGAATTTTGCGACCCTGCGGTTTAGGGTTAGGGTTTAGGGTTTAGGGTTTAGGGGTTTAGGCTTTAGGGTGTAGGGGTTTAGGCTTTAGGGTTTAGGGGTTTAGGATTTAGGGTT